AGGGCAGGAGTGCAGAGATTTGATTTTCCAACCAGTTTGTTCCTTAATCTTAACTGCTACTCTGCCATCCATGGAAAGTGCCATTATCTTATCTTTTAAACGTTACAAGTGATATGGAGAATTAAGAATATTTTATTAAATGTGTGATTCATGCCCCGATGTCCTCCATCATATTTTTGCCTGTGAAGATATGAAAAAAAATGTATGGAAATTATCTATGTGTTTGTGAGTTTAAAATTAACTTTGAACTTTTCTGACTTTATAGGTTGGGGAAGCACCCAAAAATTGATGAATGCTGCTTATATGCAACCAGGGAGTGCTCTGCAAGAAAACTGCAGGTGGAGAATAAGTGCATACCTCCTTATTCTTTGGAATGAAATGAGATTTTCCTTGCCGAAAAATTTATAAATTATATAGATGAATAAGGAAACATTTTGGGTTTTTTTTGTTTTGACTTAAGAAAATTCCTGTCAGTCTATGATGAATGACTGAACTCCCTCTCCACTTCTGATTTTTGCAATAACCTCACCATTTATTTACCACATTTTTTTGATATCTCATGGATTTGCATTTTGAACAAATAATCAACTTACCATTTGTCTGCAATGATCTTGCCAGCATTTATTTACCTTCTTTAAAAATAAAAGACTGTCCAGAGAATCTGTACAGCACCTGCTAAGGAAAACTAGTTCATCAACACCCTTTTGAGGACAGATACTAATGATTATCTTTATCCAGTAAATTTTTATTCATCAAGTTATTCAGTAAAGATGCTCAGTGGATACGCAAATGGAATTGTGCTGGAAGTTAGAGATCAAAGTTCAGTTGCTAAAAGTGGAAGACTAGGAGAGGGCTGGGAACGCTCTAAAATCATGACTCAGTTTTTGAGTGAATACCTTACATTGTTCTCCTGTGTCTCCATCTGGCAGATTCAATATGTAACTTTGACAGGTTAAAAGAAGGAGTCCCACATATCAAAAGCAACTCTCCTTCCCATTGAGGAGAGATGGCAGGAAGTAAGAACAATTGTGTTCATTGAACTGGTTTATATCAGACAAAAGTTCAAACTGCTGTATTCTTTTAAAAATCTTTCAAGGGCTTAAATAATCGTCACTAAACCCACACATGACTCTGTTCACCTAAAGTCACAGATCGTCATGAATTTACTGTGGAGGCTACTTCATAGAACAGCAGACTTTGGTTGTGATTCACGCTTTCTGAGTTCCATTAAGCCTTTTATGAAGAAATCCAAATGTGGCTTCCTTCACATGCAAGATCAACACATCTTCCTAAGCCAAATGTTGATGACTAACGTCACTTGTAAAATATGGAAATTTCACATCTCTGAAAATCATTTCTCACAAGATAGAAAAAATCTTAAATTTAAAAGCACTTAATTCAGAAGATTATATGAAGTTTAGGAGTATTAAAAAAAAAGAAAGAAAGAGGGATTTATATCTCATTCTAATTGAAGATCGATTTCTTTTAACTACATTTAAAAAACCCACATCCACAAGATCTGTTTCAAGCATAGGACACTAACTCTTCCAGTATTTGTAGAGCCACAAGAGAACAAAATCAGTGAGGAATGTGACAACTTCATGGGAGGACAAACTGCTATGAGACCACAGCAAGAACCAATTCAAGGTTGTTGGTGGCACTCTCAGAGCAGTTGCAGATGGCGCAGCATCACTTTTGAGCCCAAGAAATGAGCACTATTTGACTGTCATTAAAATAATGAGAAATACCTGTAGTAATTTTGGAGGCACCCAGTTTACTCAGACCCCCCAGTGAAGGGACACCAGAACAACACTGGTATGTCAAGGTCAACGCAAAGTGGCTTACCTCAATAACTTTGTAGGGTAGACCAGAACTAAGTGGCAGAGAGAGAGTTTGGAAGGAAAAATATTGAACACCCTATCTCAAACCCAGGAAGCAGGACTGCTGTACAACATTCTACCTGCAGCCACTCTCCTGCATACATAATACAGGTTGAACCTTTCTAGTCTGACACCCTTGGGACCTGACCAGTGTCAAACCAGAAAATTTGCTGGACTTCAGGAGGTCAATATTGTCTAGCAGCATTACTAACACTTCCACTGCTTACTAGGATCTTAGAATGCATTTAGATCTAAATTAGAGCTAAACAACAGCACAGAACATTGAAAGCCAGGATTGGTGACTGTAAACAAACTTTAAGGGACCATAGGAAACTTGGCTACACCCATGATAAGTGGACATCTGGCTAATTAAAATCATGCCAGACCATGGATGTTTCTGGACAAGAAAGTGCTGGACTAGAGAGGTTCAACCTGTAGCTGTTTCTTCAGAGGTTAACAAAGCATTGCTGACAGTCATTAAAATTTTGAGACCAGGTATAAAATTACTCATGCACTCTTGCCATGACAATGAAAATGTTATTGATATTTTGTTGGTCCACAGAAAATATTCAATTAAGGTAAGCAGGTAACTAAAATTTTGTAAGATTGCTTTTAAGATAAACCATTCAATATAGAAGATCCACATATTTGTTTTATCAATTGTTGTTGTATTACCTTTAGAAGGTATTAAGGAGTGTATTTCTGTGCACAAGAAAAGGATATTCTCTGAACTGAAGGATCTGTGCTTTTACATGATCTTCACAGACTTGCCGGAGCTGTTTGTACAGTGTAGGAGACACTTTATAAGAACAGAGGTTTTCAACAGCCTAAAAAACAAAGAACATTACAAATAAATATAAAAAAGGATATCCTGTGTAAAGTGCCTGTTCCAGCATAATTAACATAATGAATGATGAAAAGGAAAAAAAAAAATCACAGAAAAAGAATCACATTTATCCATCTAAATTAAAAAAAGAATAAGTTAAAATGTGTTTTTAGTCAAAATCACAAAGAGGGAAAAATCAATGTTCATGGACTTTGTTTTAAATTATTTTTAAATCTGAGTCTTTCCCAGGCCCTTAGGGCACAAACCAGTTTCTGCCACCAATCTATCCTGAACCACAATCTGAACACCTTCCAAGTATTTGTGTCCCATAAGTGTTCTCTGACTTGGGAGTATTCAGAGGAATTTTGTTGAATTCTTGTTTATGTTCCTTCAGCTGCCCAATGACACGGCTGCCATGATCCAATACTCTGCCTTCGTTCTTAACATGCTTCAGATATATCCTTAACTCTTCCAGGTAGCTTTAGAAACAAGGTTTTTTTCAACTCTGACAAAATTTCAGCATTTGTTACAAATTAATTGAATTTAATAGCTAGTACAGGCTGAAACTCTCTTAACTGGAATTCTCTGGTCCAGCAACATCCATGGGCCAGCATCAATGTTGCAGGACCAGAGAGTCCCAGTGTACAGCCAGCAGTAAGGATCCCTGAGGGTCTAGCAGGGCAGTGGGTTGTCCACTGGGAGCTGACGGCAGGGCTGCCCAGTGCGTAGCAGCGGAGCCAGTGCAGCAATGGCTGCCCAACACGTTGGCAAGACAGTGGGGCCAGCAGGAGGTGGGGAGCCAGCTAGGAGGCCAGCAGCTGAGCCATGGGGGCCAGCGGCAGGGGTCCAAAATGACCTCCCTTGGTCTGGCAAAATCCCTCATCCAGGACGAGTCAGGTTCTGAGGATGCTGGACCAGGGAGGTCCAACCTGTATTAGATAATCCTGAGACATTTGCTTTCAAAAGCATTAAAACATCTGTGTGCGCCTTTGATGGATTTCTGTCTTTCATCTCCAAATACAATTTCTGTCTAAACATATGGATATGAAGATTTTTAGTCAAGTGTTTAAGTTCTAGATGTGCAGAGACCAAATATGGTTTAAGATGGTGAATGCATCTACCACATTGCTGGTTTGTGACATGATTTCCTTTTGGATATGCCCTCTGGCTTGCACATTACTGTGAAGGTAGAACCTTAGAGTTATGAGCACCTCAGGAACTGAGGCATTTAATAATTCTAAAATATTCAAAAGCTTCAGAGGAGTAGCTGAGTTAGTCTGTAACTGGAAAAACTTGAAAAAAAATGAATAGTTTAGCAGCACCTTAAAGGCTAACAAAACATGTAGATGGTATCATGAGCTTTCGTGGGTACAACCCACTTCTTCAGATGAATGGAGTTATTAAAAGTCCAGTTCCAAAATAAATAGGGATCAGGACATAGGCGGTGAGCTATATGGGCTGATGGTGCCCATGCTCCACCAATATTTGGAGCTGGGTCTCTCCCCCTGGAGTGGACCCCGGCCCCCACTTGCCGGCCCTGTGCGTCCTCCTCCCAGACCCCATATCCCTGGCCCCGGAGCGTCCCTCCCAGCATAGGCGTGTGCACGGGGTATGACTGGCAGACTGGCTAACTGGAGGCTGCTGCTAGAAGAGGAGGGGTATGACGGGGCAAGCTCATCCCCCCCCGCCCCCGCAAGAAGATGCCGGCGGCCGCAGCATCAGAAGCTGCACGACCTGGCACGCCTCGGCGCTGCTGCGCATGCTCCGGCGGCCCTGCGGGCACTTCAAAAGCCGGAGCAGCACAGCTGAGAAAGAGGGCAGAGCACGCCACCGTGAGGCTGGCGGAGGATGCAGGAGGCCGGAGGGAGCCAGGGCCCCGGACAAGAAGCACTCCATGGCACACGTACCCGCAAGAGGGCTGCCTGAGAACCCGAAGGGCTTGTACTGGGCGGCCTCTTCTTTGCCTTTGGGTGAGTGTGCCCCCCATGCCCATGTGCTCCCTCAGGCTGGCC